TTATTATTATTATTATTATTATTATTATTATTATTATTATAAATTAATTAATTTATTTATTTATTTTAAAGAATTAAAATGGCTTGAATTAAATTTTGGACTTTCTAAGTAAAGTTTGGTCAGATTACGGGGGCTCATTGCAACATCTGTGCCTGTCTGTACCTGCAACTCCATTGATCCTGTTTCCACTGTAGGCAGCACACTCATTGGCACTGAGCAGCTCTGGTGCATCTAAAATGTTGCATTATTAATTCAACACATCAACACAACAGATCCCCAAATTTCAGAAGTAGATACCCTTCCTGATATCTGTTTGTTTGTCTTTACCTTACTGTTAAATTTATTGCAGCATATCGGTATCAGGCCTAAGATTACCGCAATCATGATGACGCCTGCCACCATGGCTTTAGCGATGCCTGTAGCAAACACACACAAACACGCACATACACAAATGAAAAGTGTTGATTTTACTTATTTAATAATCAATATAAATAACTATAAATAACTATTATATGTATTTTGTTAATAAAAAATTCTGAAGATTTTTGCAGAACATTTTTTTATTTGGTTGGTAAGAGTCTGACTGACTGACCACAAATCTTAAAACACACTTACCTTCTTTCAGGTTGCGGTTTGACAAAATGGCTGTTTTGTTGTTGCTGCGAGTGCTGACAGTGCAGCTGTAGGTCATATCAGTGAAGTCATGTTTGGTGTCAGGGAATATGACAGAACTCTTAATGTTATAAAGTTCTCTGTTCGGTCCACTCTGCTGGACTATGGTTGTGCTCCTGAAGACGGTTTGACGGCTGGTGGACCAGGTGAGCAGAGGTTCGGGGTAGATCCCCTCAGAGCTGCAGGTGATCCTGTTTTCTGCCTTCTCAATGTTGACCTCACGGACTGGAGCTGTCATAAAAAATATACTTTATGAATTATTCACTCTAAAAAAATTATTTTGTCTTGAAATGTTTTTTTGTTTATAAGACAAAGATTGCTATATATCTTCATGCAAATATATAGTAAAAAAAAGTGTCTTGTGTTTTCTGTATGTTTCTCGTACCGTCCACTTTTAGGCTGATAAATGAATCATTGTTTCCCCCTGTTGCACATTTGTATCTGCCTTCATCTTGAAACTCCACTGATGTCAGCTGGAGTGAGGCGTTTCCGTTGGATATCTGGTCTTTGAATAATGATGCCCGGCCTCTAAAATGCTCATCCTGTTGTGTAAGCTGGTCTTGTTTGGAGTTGTAGGAGAGGATGGAAACATGTCTTGCCTTTAGCAGACTCCAGCTAATAACTGCATCAGTGCTACCCAGGAAACTGCAGGGTAAGATGCAACTTTCCTGGAAAACACAGGACACCTCAGTATCTGCAACACAAAGAGACACCCAACACAGTTCAACTTAGAGGACATTTCTCTGAAATCCAACAATTAAATTAAAAATAGTTAGTTTTTCCACCAGTAAAACCTGGTGTCTGCATTAAACACTATGAAAATACAAAACCAAGCTGGTTGCTTGAATATAAACACAATGCTGTTTGAGTCTGATATAGCTGAAAGATGTGTCACTCTGGTAGCAACATTACATACTCCACATTTTCCCACACAGAAAACAAAAGTATGTGACAGCTGGAATGCACGCCGGCACAAAGGTCAAATTCAAAAACTACATTTCTCATGTGATACCATTTTTAAAGTTTACACTAACAAGGTTGGTAAATAGGAACTCGGACTTTGTAGCAAATCACTATTCAAAAAACGTTATCTTAAGTGTTTAAAATTTAGTTACACGTCAAAAATGATGCACAAGAGATCAATCGCAAGGATTTTCCAAATTTGATGAATAGATAATGATTCTTTCAGCTGCTCCCTTTGCTTCTGTCTCACCATATCCTCCACATCTTCCTTTGAATGTTCTCTTTCTACATCTGTGAACCTTCTCTATGTTCATCCTCTTTTCTTCCTGCCTGGCAGCTCGATATTCAACATCGCTTGTCCAATATACCCCTTATCCCTCCTCTACATGTGTCCAAACCATCTCAGACTTGAGTCTCTAACGTTGTGTCAACCTAAGCGTCTGATGTACCCTTTTCTTGTCTTGTCCATCTGGGTCACTGCCAACAAAAATCTTCAACTGTTCCAGCTGCAGCTTGGTCTTCTGTCTTTTGTCAGTGTCACATATCTGAACTATGCATCATAGCAGGTCTCACTGGCATCTCTTAATGAATGATGCACATACAAAATAACACAAATGCGAGAAAAAAAATGTCTTTGGGCACAAATATCTCTGAAATTTCTGCCATTAAAGTTTATATAACGGAACATAACAGAAGACTGGATTTCTAGACAAAATACTAGTCAAGCAACATCAAAGTAAAAAAAACCTCCTTCAGACAACCATCTATGTAAACTTTCTGAGGAGTACAAACAAAATATTAATACATTTCTTATTGTAATTCAAAATCCTTGTCTAATTTTCTGGCATGTTCATTTTTTCTTTGAATAAAAACCAACATGACCCGAAACACACCTGTGTTAATGACAGTCATGGCAGCCTCACTCACCTCCATTTGTAAGAGTCCACAGAAAAGCCAGAACAACACACTTGATCCCGATTATCCTGCTCAGTTCCATATTCCTGCTGCTGAATCAAACTTCATAACAGAAGAAAAAAGAAGTCTCTCTTAGAACATGTAGTTTTGGCGTTCTAGATTTCTGCCTCCACGCCCACAGAATGAACTGTTTCTCTTTAGCCTGCCATATTGTTTCCTGGTATGTTTAGATCCATTCATAATAACTACCATGATAATGGTTAGTTATAATGGTTAGAATAAGGTATTATGCATATGTACGCATAAGATAACACCTCACTCAACTCCTTTTATCCACCGACAGTTCAGGATGGTCAAAAACACGATGGACTTGATCCCAGTCATTAGCTCGTTCAGTTCTAGTTGCCTCCCTGTTACTTCATCAGTGTTTGAAAAAAGAACCAACATGTTACTGGCTCATAACAAAACTCATCGAGCTTGTTTGTTTGCTTGTGACGCTGTCAAGTGTCTTCAAACTATGACTCAGGGAAGTGTTTGAAATAGCTAGGTGTGGTAAGAAGAAAAGAATGACTTGTCAATCATCAACTTTTCACAGGAAGAGTCATTCTCTGAAATGCTACCAAACCTTTTACTGCGTCTTTCTTTATTTTAGCTGCTCTCACAATCCAGGATTCAAGTGCAACTGTCCTCCCCTCACACATGCGCACACGCTAAACACTAAAAACATTGATTTCATTTATACAAAAAAAAGGTAGGACTCCCGAGTGCCTGTGATTACTGATCCAGCATAGGTTACTTTGTAGATAAACCTTTTCAGTGCATTCAAATCACAAGTGCAGATCACATTATGTTAATCAATAAATATCATTTTTCATAAACCAGCATGAGCAACAGTGCAAGAGAATCATGTCATGCTTTTTGTAGTTTTTTAGTAAATCGATTCACAACTGCACACCAAAATCACGTATAATATTCAATCACCAGCCACTCTGATAAGTACACCTATTCAACTGCTCATGAATGCAAATATCTTATCAGCCAATCATATGGCAGCAAATCAATGCATTTAGGCACATAGACATGGCCATCACAACCTGCTAAAGTTCAAACTGAGAATCAGAATTGGGAGGAAAGAGATGATTTAGGTGACTGAATGTGCAAAAAAATAACATTTACTTATTGCTAAAATACAAAATTCATATATTTATTCTTTCATTTTATTACTCAAGTTTAAGAGTGCTTGAGGTTTGTATGTGAGCTAAACTGCTGGGTGTTGTAGCAAACTTTCAACCAGAAGATGTCACTAAAAATATACAACATCTATTAAAAGACAGTTTAAAGTTTAGCTGCTCAGGATCAAACTCCATCAAGGAGTTTTGCAGGTACTCGCAGAAGAACCTTTAAAATTCACTGATGTGAAGGCAGAAGGACAGTGAGTAGTTCTATCATCTGCCATCAACCCTGCGGGTTGGGGAGCCCGGCTAGATGGGAGTCAGATTTTTGTTTTAAAACGTGAAAAAAAGAACATTTTAAATGTCTGCTGCTTTAGTTAAACTTAACTGTGACAAACACTTTATTTTATTTTATTTAATACACATTACAAATAATCTACATGACTACTTTTTTCTGTAAGAAAGACTCGGTCACATGATAATTTTGAAACAGTGAGATGATGCTGCAGATTCAGTTCATTTCAGTGAATTAAATTACCGAGGTGAAGTAAGTCTCTGCAGTTTTTTCCAGTGATACTGACAGACCAAACAGTTCATGACAAAATAAATTACACACATCTCTAAATCTATCTTCTTCATACTATTTTTTCATGAGCACTGTTTGTTCATAATACAAGACTCCACAGAAAAGTCAGAAAAATGCATTTGATCTCAGTCATTATGCTGCAGCTGCACCAGTGTTAAAAAAGGATCAAGTTAAATCTACTAATGTTTTTCTTTCTTTTTTTTTACATTTTAAAAATAATTTCTTTTGTCAGACTTCATAACTCCCCAAATTTCCCCCGTAATTGTATTATTTTTTGTAAAATTTGTACTACTAAATAAAACAAAACAAAAACTAAATAATTAAATCAAAGACTGTGCAATCTAGACAGCTACTTTAATGTAGCTTATATAATTATATAATTTAATTCCTCAAATGTAACCACAGACAAGTTGTAATCTTGTTGTTATTTCATCATTTTAACAGTCAGTAAATATGGATGAAATGAGGCCAAACCGGACTACAGGCTCACTTGTGGTCACTGGACAGTTGTAAACAAATCCCTGCAGCTCAGTGGTTCCTCTCCAGTATCACATTTTGTCTTATCTACAGATGACATAAACTAAATCATGAAAACACAACATACTGATATTTACTGAAGCTTTTCACTAGAAAATGACAGAAAACAACAAAGCGTCTTCGTTTAGAGGAAGACATTTAAAATAAATTATTTAGAACAGTCGATGAATCTGAGAACACGTTTCTGAGTGAAAGAGATAGAAAACAGTTGTGTTTCTCTAACAGGAGGAGCTTCTTCATACTAAACAGGACACAGAGACACTGATGCATTAGGATTGAAACCAAATCCAGGATAAATAGGTTCAGTGAATGTGGTGTTAAAGGTGTGGAGGTGAATCAGAGTGCCAGAGGAGACTCTGTAGAAGGACAGAATGCCAGCAGGACAGTCCACGTACACAGCTACTCTGTTAGAGGCAGAAGACGTGGAGGAGGAGTAGGAGGAAGACATGCTTCCGTTATTGTGCCACACAGAACGAGGGCGACCATCGCTGTAGCATTCCAGTCTCCAGGACTGATCGTTCCTTCCAAACACGCAGTCTTTACTGTCGCCTTTCATTTCAATTCCTCTGTAACTCACTGATATATCAATCCCTCCACTCCACTCAACCTCCCAGTAACAGCGACCAGTCAGACCATCTGTACACAGCAGCTGATACCAGTAATCAAATCTGTCTGGATGATCAGGATATGACTGAACCTCCTTCACCTGTGTCACCTTCCTGTTGTTGTCGGACAGTTTGAGGTATTTATTTATTGTGTTTGTGTCGATTGTGAGTTGACAGGAATCTGGTTGAGACAACAAACACAACAATGTTGTCGTTTTGATGACATCAAAGATATGACTGAGTGATGCAACAGTTTGAAAATAGTTAAATCTGTGCCGCCTTGTTTTTATGAATGTTAAAAACTTACACTTCCTCAGACCGTCTGGTCTCAACCATCGGACTCCAGCCGGCTCCACCCTGAGAGGAGGAGAGGGGTCAGACCGCCGTCTTTCAGCATGCACACACAGTCCAACTTTTTCACAAAGACACTTTAATGGATTTTCAGTTCTTTGAGGCAGTTGTTGGATTGTTTTTCATAGCAGTAAATCCATAACGTCAAACCTTGGTTCAACAATTTTGCTGAGCACTGTATTGATAGTATGATAATAAGTGAAGAGAATATCATCAAGATCCTTTTGCTACCCTGATTCATTACTTTTATTGAGGTGCTGCTTAAGTCAGCACTGAATAACTCATATATGTCCTTTACTAGCATACTCATATGTTCATTGCAGATACTGCACTCAGTTATCAGTTTTTATCCTGTTTTCTTCTTGTTTGCTTTAAAATGACAGAGAACATTAATCACTCTGTGACCTTTTATTGGTATTTACTGATTTTTTTGCAGGCCTTAGGCCATATAATATCAGTCCGTTTTAAATTAGTTTTGCCTCAGAGACAATGTCAGCATGTTCCTGAGATCATGCAATCATTTTCATGCCTGAGGGCCCAAAGATCACAGGCATCGAATGCTGATTTACAGCCTTCAGCATAAATACGTCATTACTGGTAAACTCGACTAACGTTTCTGTTGTGAGCAAAGAAAAAATGTCCCTGCATTTGTGATTGCTCAGATCATATCTTTATGAAACAAACAGAAACAAAGTGAGGACACAGAAAATGTTTCCTCCACTGTTAAACATTCTCCTCATACCTTAAAGTGTCTAGTTTCCAACATGGATCCTTCAGTCCACTTAACAACAGCTTCATTCCTGAGTCTCCTGGATCATTATAGCTCAGATCCAGCTCTTTCAGATGGGAGGGGTTGGCGCTCAGAGCTGAAGCCAGAGAAATACATCCTTGCTCTGTGATCAGACAGCCTGACAGACTGAAGACACAAAAAACAACAATCCATCTGTGAACACTTCACTGAAGCTTTTTTCTTTTTGTGATACACAGCCATCTACTCATTCACTTCAGTTTAGCTTTATTTATATGTGATCATTTAGACAGATAACACCAGTTGTCTTAAATTGTGTAATGACGCACATCTATGTTCGGAAACTCTAGGAACTATTTTGATCCAAGAACTACAGGGAGAGCAAAAGACTCTGTTGGTAAAATATGATGCCATAAGTGTCATTGAGATATGATGGTGCCTGAACGTTCAGGCCTTTGTACGTTAGACTGACTCTGGAAAGAGTATGTTTCTAAATTTAATGATATTGATCTGTATTGTTTGTTGTTGTTGTTTAATTATAAAAAAAAATCCACAATAATTATTCTGAATTATTACAGTGAACTTTATATAACATAAAAATATATTTGAGCCCTGTAGAAGTTGAAGATTAACCTTTGTGTGTGAGAAACACTTTTCCATGAACAAATTGAAATCCATCAGATAAACAGCATTCAAATCATTGTAGCCAATTTCCTTTAATAAAAACATTGTATTCTAGCCTCTGTAGTACAATGCACTATATCAAATGCAGCACTGAGGTCTAGGAGGACAAGCACAGAGATGAGTCAACTGTCAAAGGCCATAAGAAGATCAATATTAACCTTCAGCAGTGCTCTTTCTGTGTTATAATGAACTCTAAAGCCTAAAACTGACCTACAAGAACTCCTCAGATGTTTTTAATGAAAGGAAGATTAGAAATTATCCTACAATTAGCTTATAAGCTGGATCATGTAAAGGCCTTTTAAGTAATGGTTTAATTACAAAACTAGATTAAAAGCTCTGTTGTACATTCATTTTTAATAAAGATAAATTTTGCTTTAAAATTGAACTGTCTATGCAATAATATAATTACGCTTTTAAAAAATCAGAGAAAAAGTCGGATTCCTGACCTCAAAGTTTCCAGTGTACAATGCGAACTCTCCAGTCCAGAAGAGAGAAGTTTCACTCCAGAATCCTGCAGGTCATTATTACTCAGGTCCAGCTCTGTCAGACTACAGGACCGACAGCGGAGAACTGAAGTCAGAGCTTCACAGCTTCTCTCTGAGAGGTTACAGCCACTCAGTCTGTAAAAAAAAAAAAAAATATGTAAAACTTTTATTTTGACACTCAGCGAGAAAAGCAAATATTTCCTTGATAAAGTCACAACTTGTGAATAAGTAAAAACCTAATTTAAGTTTAGACCAAAAAGAGAACACTTTCACATTTTCTTAGTAAGTCAAAATACTTGTAGGAGCCATTTTTGGGTTGATACCTTATGTATGCCGCTAGAGGTCACCTTTAGAGTTTTTCTGTATGTTTATGTGAAAGTATTTAAGGTAGACACACATATTTAACTGTTGTGTGTGAGAAACACTTTTACATGAACAGTTTGTGACTGCTGCACTGCTATGTTAAATTGTGAAAATAAAGAATCTAAAGGACAAGATGAGTAAGGCTGGAATTATTGAACTGCATCAAGTTTAATAAATGAATGCATAACAGTGACACCGCGTCACCCCCGCCAACGAACATCTCAGTGGCTTCAAGCATAGGATTAGCCTCTACAATACTTATACAAAGCTGGCAGATATAGTTCAGTACCCACTTCACTGGTACAAGCATACACCACTGCTGGTCATTTTCCTGATTTTAATCTGTGATTTTTGTTTCTATGTACAGCTCCTTGTTTAATCACATAGCAATCCTTAATGCAGACTTTTAGTTAATCCTTTCTAAAACAAGCAGGTTAGACCTTTCTCTTTTAAAACTACTCTTCCTAAAAGCATAGTTCTCTTTTGATTGGTCTATTTCAGGAAACAGAAAGGGCAGCACTTAATGTTTGGGAGCCCCACCTCCTCTGCCTTGTACTTTAGTTGTTCTGAAAACATACCTTTAGACTGGAGTGTCTGGACTCCAGTCTAAAGACTGGACTGTCTATACAAAAAAGTGTCTCTGTAAAAAGCTGTGCAGTCCAAATTTTTCCTCCTAACTAGATGGTATCATAGCAGACATAATAGAGATTTAAACAATAAGATAAGGGGTTACGATGAAGGTTAGTTACACTGAGACTGAGCTATGTTCAGTACCATCAAAAGAAGACATACAGTCTGCTGACTAAATTATAAGGATTAGAATTGAAAAACAAAACTCCTGACTTAGAAACAAAATCATGAGTGAACAACCTGATTCTAGGGGGCTGAGATATCAGACCTATGTTGTTGTTGTTGTCGTCTATCTAGGTTCTCAGTCACCCAGCACATAGAGTCAGGCCAGAAAGATATAACACTGCTCCATGAAAAGTGAACCTGAAATTTCTTAACAACAGGCTCAAACTGAGGGTAATTTATCTATATTCTGGATATTTTCCAGAAATGCTAATACTTTCTGTCGTTATGAAACATTAAAAATATCCTACAATTGATTGTGAGTGCATATGACCATTTAATTTAAAAGTTACGCCTATGTGAGCAGTGTAAATTGCCAGCAGCCATTACACTATTTAGGTTTCTTGAATTTTGCATGCCTGCTTTTTTGAAAAGTAGAATCAATATTTTCAAAACAAAAGGATGAGAACGCGTTTGCTTACAGAGCTTTGTTGGAGGCTTTAATCACTGGCATCAGCCTCAGCAGAGCCTCCTCTGAAGCAGAGTATTTCTTCAGGTCAAACACATCCAGATCTTCCTCTGATGACAGTAAGATGAAGACCAGAGCTGACCACTGAGCAGGAGACAGTTTCTCTGTAGACAGCCTTCCTGAACTCAGGGATTGTTGGATCTCATCCACTAGAGAACGATCATTCAGTTCATTCAGACAGTGGAACAGATTGATGCTTTTCTCTGCAGACAGATTCTCATTAATATTCTCCTTGATGTACTTGACTGTTTCCTGATTGGTCTGTGAGCTACTTCCTGTCTCTGTAAGCAGGCCTTGTAGGAGACTCTGATTGGTTTGTAGTGATAGTCCCAGGAGGAAGCGGAGAAACAAGTCCAGGTGTCCATTTGTACTCTGTAAAGCTTTGTTCACAGCATTCTGGTAGAAGGGTGTAGGATCTCTTGTTTCAGAGTTCTGAGATGTCATCTCTTTCTCTTCCAGAAGATTAATACCAGAGTTGATCAAAGTCAGGTGGACATGAAGAGCAGCCAGAAATTCCTGGATGCTCAAATGGATGAAGCAGAAAACCTTGTCCTGGTACAGTCCTCTCTCCTCTTTAAAAATCTGTGTGAACACTCCCGAACACACTGATGCTGCTCTGATATCGATGCCACTCTCTGTCAGGTCTGATTCATAGAAGATCAGGTTTCCTTTCTGCAGCTGTTCAAAAGCCAATTTTCCCAGAGACTCAGTCATCTTCCTGCTCTCTGGACTCCAGTGTGGATCTGTTTCAGCTCCTCCATCATACTTCACCTTCTTTACTTTGGCCTGAACCACCAGGAAGTGGATGTACATCTCGGTCAGGGTCTTGGGCAGCTGTCCTCCCTCTCTGGTTTCCAGCACATCCTCCAGAACTGTAGCAGTGATCCAGCAGAAGACTGGGATGTGGCACATGATGTGGATGCTTCGTGTTCTCTTGATGTGGGAGATGATTCTAGAGGCCTGCTTCTTATCTCTGAATCTCTTCCTGAAGTACTCCTCTTTCTGAGGGTCAGTGAACCCTCTAACCTCTGTCACCATGTCAACATATTGAGGAGGGATCTGACTGGCTGCTGCAGGGCGTGTGGTTACCCATAGGCGAGCAGAGGGAAATAGATTCCGTCTGATGAGGTTGGTCAGAAGCACATCCATTGAGGTGGACTCTGTTACATCAGTCAGCGTCTCAAAGGTTTGGAAGTCCAGAGGGAGTCTACACTCATCCAGACCATCAAAGATGAACACAACCTGGAAGTCTTCGAAGCTGCAGATTCCTGATCCTTTGGTTTCAGGAAAGAAGTGATGAACAAGTTCCATCAAGCTGAACTTTTTCTCTTTCAGCACATTCAGCTCTCTGAAAGTGAATGGAAACATGAACTGGATGTCCTGGTTGGTTTTGTCTTCAGCCCAGTCCAGCGTGAACTTCTGTGTTAAGACTGTTTTCCCAATCCCAGCCACTCCCTTTGTCAGCACTGTTCTGATTGGTTCATGTCTCTCAGGTGAGCCTTTAAAGATGTCTTCTTGTCTGATTGTTGTTTCTGAACTATCTGATTTTTTGGATGCTGTTTCAATCTGTCTAACCTCGTGTTCATCATTGACCTCTGTGGTCCCTCCCTCTGTGATGTAGAGCTCTGTGTAGATCTGATTCAGCAGGGTTGGGTTTCCTGCTTTAGCGATCCCCTCAAACACACACTGGAACTTCTTCTTCAGTTTTGATTTAAGCTCACTTTGACTCGATTGGAAATTCCTAAAAAATGTTTGTGAAGGAACAAACAGACAAAAAATAGAAGTCAAGGACTTGTCAAGTTCATATGTTGTTAGTATATATTGGTCCATTAATAAATGTATCAAACAGCATGAATCTTTAGACGCATCCTCTTACTGCTCTGCAGATGGTCAGCGAGCTCCTCCTGCTTCATTCTCCTAAGAAAGAACAGTGTGATCTTAACCAATGCTTCTCGGCTGCTCCTCCTCTGCTCTTCATCCTCACTCTCTAACATCTCCTCATCCTCCCTCTGACTCTCTAAGAATTCTGGGTAATCTGGAGTCAGAACCTTCTGGATCTTCTTCAGTTCATTCTTCACATAAGTGACAATGCTGTCCTCCAGCAGCTGCAACAGAATACTTTAAAAATTACCTGGTCACCCCATAAACACAAGCAGTTGCAACACATAGGGAAATAAAAAAAAGAAAAAGAAATGAAAAGTATAAAGACCCAGGAACAATAAAGAGAACAAAACGCAAACTACAAAAGAGAAAAGACTAAATGCAGTGATGATTTATAAATGCTTAAGCAGTAAAAGAGGGGACATAATCAGTGCATCATGGGAAGTCCTCCAGGAACCTAAGCCTTCCGCAGCATAACTAAGTGATGGTTAATGATCACCTCATTCAGTCCTCACTATAAGCTTCATCAAACATCAAAGTTTTAAGGCTAATCTTAGAACTAGAGCAGCCATTTGTCTCCTGAACACAAACTGAGAGCTGTTTCCACACGAGGGAGCCCTGACAGCTGAATGCTTTCTCTTCTATTTTACTTTCAGAAACTCTAAAGTGCACTTTTGGGATAATAAGGTACAGTAACAAAGTAGAAATACTTTGTACTTAAGTAAATGTGTCAGGTATCTTCAGTATTTATTTTTCTGACAACTTTTTCTTTTACTCCCTACAAATTAACACAAATATTTGTACTTACTACCCCTTACATTTTCAAAACAGACTTGTTACTTTTGGTTCATCGATAGCATTTATACTCAGGGGTTTAAGTGGGCTGGAATGGTGCACGTGTCCATAAACTGTGGTCATGGTACTTAAACATTTAGTTAGTTCTACAGAAGAGGAGCGAGCATAAAGGAAGTACACATTTTTTAACTGTCAGGTACTTTAATATTTGACATTTCTATCAGCTCCACAAACGTCAGCAAACTCAAACTGTTTGTGTGCAGTTTGTCTCACAGTGTGTTGCAAGCTAAAGGTCCAGCTGCTGTTTTTCACAGGGAGAGAAAAGAGCATGAGATAAGATGAAGGAAAGGCAGAACAGGAGGAAGAGAAGTTAGATTTAAAGGTAAGGCCTGCTCAGTGACACAGTTGTCATTTTTAACCACATATTGGATCTGCACATGATGTGTTTTGATAAATAATGTATTTTCATATTGTCAATCATCCTGCAAAACAAACTAAGCTATACTTATTTTGTGTTATTTAAATGTTACAGTTTGTAAAGAGGTTAGCTTTCTGCAAATTTATTGCAAATTCATTTTATTTTTATTTTTGCACAGCGGCCGGTCAGTGTTGGGTTACATCAAGCACAGTAGACTAACATGCATTTAAGATAATGATAGATTCATTCAAATAGCTGGTTAAACTGCTGCCAGTTTGTTGAATTCAACAATTCAGATTAAATCAGCTGAACACAGCCTGTGCAAAAATCTACTGGATCTGACAATACAAATTTTTGTGAGCTGTGATTCTTTTCCCCACACTGAGCCACTACACCACAAACTGTGGTCCCTTCACATGCCAGCTCCAACTTTAACCCCTGACTGTACTCATTTTCCTCTTCAGGTGCAGGCAAAGTCCAGGCAACAAAAAAAACAGTTCTTCGTTTTTAAATTCTCTTTCACTGCATGTGACCTAAATAACAGAATAAACTTGAGTATATTTATTAGAATTAAAATTATGATTTGAATAATATTTGTATTCTCATGTACTAATGTATGAGGTTCAATTAGCTTTGTACACAAATGGTTAGTAGAAATGTCCTTCAAGGAGATTCTTGCTACTTTCTTACTTTGAGTATATTGCGGAGCCTGTACTTGTTCACTTTTACTAAAGTAATGAAGTTTCTTCAGTACTTCTACTGGAGTAGTTCAGATACCCAGGTATCTGTAATTCTACTTAAGTACAGAATATCTGTACTTTTACCACATCTGGTTCTATATGAGAGCTGCACAGTACAAAACAGGATCATTGTCATTTCTTGTGACCAGACACGTTTTTTAACAAAATGGTTTCCAATTATCTATCTACCCAAATAGTTTACTAGACACAAACCAGCAGCTGAAGAAAAACATGTATCTGTCGAAGTAAAATTAGTCACCAGTAAGGCTAAACCACAAAGTTTTATATTCTTCTGTAAAAATAAGTTTAGTATTAAACTGTGCTTAATTGTGCTTCCATTTCACCTTACCTCACCTCCAATGCTAGAAGAAACTAGTGTTTGTCATATGTACCATGTACAGCATGCAGATTAGAGCAGGCTGAAATTTGACACAAGCGTTCTGTTTGAAGGAGAACCAGCTTTACCTCCTGAATTACAACCCACACACTCAACTTCCAAATGACTAAGAAGAGAATAAATGTAAAAGTAGCTGTTGTGCATGTACAAACCACAAATATGGAGTCCAGGTGTGTTTGATGCTGCTGCTCAGACCGACCACTGGGAACCTCTAAGGTCTCCTGATCCACTCTGTGGAGGAATCATGAATCAAAAGTATAATCACACAAAACTGGTCCTCCACGTTATACCAAAAAACACCCAAACTAACAAAACAATGCCTTCCTGCTAATGTCTGGAGCTCTGAAGGTGCCCTGTGTTATCTGACACAGACAGTGAAAACAATAAATGCCCTCACAGTACTTGCTGTATAATTATTAAGGTGCTATCTTTCAAGGATCCTGACAGTTGATGTGTGTTGGGGGTGCATGGACCATTACAATGTTTATTAATCTCAGAACTCTGCCAACAACCACAGTGATGCTATGAGATGGGGTGGCTAAGAGGAAGCTCATGAGAGAAAGGGAAACAGTCAGTTAGGCTCATTATAGATAAGAAAGGCTCTCATTAAGACTGTTGTGTTTGTGGAAAAAATCCAGCACACACAAAATCACATATGAACACAGAAACATGTGTGACAAGAGCCGGTCTGACGGGAAACATTTGGAGAAGTTATTCAGAAATAACAGAATCAGTTAGAGATTTAGATGCAGATTACCTCTCCACGACAGAAGCTTCTTCTTTAAATATAATATCATATTGCTTTGAATGGCTGCTCTGTAATGACACAGAGCTGGGGTCAGGCCTCTGATGGTAGCTGAAAGAAAAATAATATTTGTTAAAATCCTCTCACACAGAAAATGCTAAAAGAAAAAAATGTGAATATATGCTCATGTAAATAAAGAGAATAAAAGAAAATATTCAATTACAAATGTAGACCAGTTTACAATAGAATTACATATTTAAAAAATATCTCAATCTTAAACAATTAAAACATTTTGAAATATTATTTAAACCTAATTAAATAGTGAGAACTACTTACTATGTGTCAGATGAATGTCCAATGAACTTAACTGAGCTACCATGACATGAAACATTTCTTAAATTTATTTAGAAAAACAGATTTGGTTAGAACATTTGGATACAGTTTACCTCTCCACAGCAGAAGCTTCTTCTTTAAATGTAATATCATACTGCTTTGAATGGCTGCTTCTTAAGGACACACAGCTGGGTTCAGCTCGCTGATGGGAACTGAAAGAAAAAACTATTCAGTAAAATCATGTTGGACAGAAAATGCTAAAAAAAAAATGTGATTATACATGTTTGAATAATGAGTAAGAATGAATGATGAGTAACAATATGAAATTACATTTGTAGACCACGTTATATTAGAAATGGCTAACAAACAATCAAAATCTTAAAAAACTCAAACAATTTATCTTATGAAGTATTTTCTAACTCTGATTGAATCCTGAGAATGACTTACTCTGTGTTACATGAATGTCTTTGAAATATTAAATAATTTTCTGCTCAGCTCGTTCTTTAACTTTAGGTCCAGGTCAACGTTTAGTTTTTCTGTAAATAATGATGGTGCAGTGATGTGAGTGCTCAGCTGCGATATTTACAGATGTCATGTCACCTCTGAGCTTTGGGCTGGATCTCCTGTTCCTCACACAGAGTGCTTTTAGAGGGAGGGACTCCCTCCTCTCTGTCCTCACGCTCATCCATGCTGTGGAATTCCACATCTGCAGAGGAAACACAAATTATTCATATGAACACCAACTGAAATTCTTCTTTCCATTACGTGTACTGAACATTACAAAGTAACACACTACTGTAATCACATTACAATTATGCGGTCACTTACATTACAAATGTTTGATGATTTATCAATCAGGTGAGACAGAAAGCAAAATAAAAACACTCTTGCTGCAGCAACTTTTCAGGAGTTTATGACATTGTTTTTATTTCCCAAAAGGACATGAGCACGATGGTTGAATGCAAACAGCGTCCAGAACAGAAACAACCACATTAGGATGAAATTATGCAGACAACATGCAAACACACTGCTACCCAAAAACACATAGTGATGATAGCACTGACTGAATGCTGACTACAGCTCTGCAACCAGACCCTGAACTGTTTCTACCTGTTTAGGCTGAACAGCTTAATCACTCTGGTGATCCCACTTAAGTCTCTTTAGCTGTTTTTTAACTTTTCTTTGCATTTTTCACTTTCTGTTCACACTGCAGGTAAACACTAAAAAAAGATTGCAAGTGTTTCCTCATTGTTTGTGTTAGTGTGGGAGACTGTAGCCTGGTCAGTTTTAGACAGTGTGTTTCAGGTTATTTTCTGGAATAACAAGAAAGTAAGTAATGAAAGTAACAAGAAAGTAAGTAATGTAATGAGGAGTGTAATGACCTACTTTCTAATTACATTCTCCAGCAAGTATTTAAGCAATGCACGGCATGACTTTTTAGAAAAGTAACGAGTAATGTGTAATACGTTACTTGTTTTCAGTAAGGACTCCAACACTGGTGCTGAACGGGGAGTCATCTTGTCGCACACAGGATGACTCCCCGACACACCTGGTTCACTCTGAATGGAAGCTTCAATCCACTGATATTCAGTCAGTGAAGCAGCTTTTCAGCTGATCCATTATTCAGAGTGCCAGCAGTGTTAAAGCTACACAATAATTAATCCTGGTTACTTTTCAGAAAACTGTGCACACACGAATTTGCTGTTAGAAGCATTTTCCATCTAATAGCAATCTATCTCTGTAAATTCCAGGATTAATGTGGACAGCCATCAAGAGCTGCAACTAATCATTACATTCACCATTAACCAGCCAATTATCTTTTAGATTTGTTGTTGTTTCATAAAATGTCAAAAGCTGGTGAATGCCGCATCACTCGTCTAAAAATATTTAGTGTAGTATCAGGAACAAGAAAGATATGCATCAAGCCCTCCCAGCAGATTTTGCTTCAAAACAAAAATGATTAACAACGATCTGAATGGTCAGGATTCCTTTACTGTCAGTTAATCATGTGATGGCTGCAGCTCTACAGTCAATACTTATTTTCGCATGTTTTAGCAGAGTGGAAAGCTGCTGAAACTGGGAATCATGTTAGCGAAACACTGAACATTTGTAAGAACCTGAACTTGACAATCTGACCAAATCGCTAAAATCAAGCTTTAATGTAGTTTTATTTTCAAAGAAGTGACAGGAAAAAGCGGCACTCTGCTCTTACAAGACATAAAAACTCAGTTTTTTTTCGAAGACGTCCACCACACATCAGCTGCTTATCATGTTTGATTTCAACTGTGTGAATTTCTGTTCAAACACAGCGATCCAGCGTTTGTCCTGCGGTACGAGACGGATAAGATGACCGCATCTTGCGCAAAAATTCACAGCCAGAAAGCAAGACGAACTGTTAGAGAAAGAATCAAAGCAAACTCACAGATTCTTCAAACATTGCATAAGAGAAAGAATCTCCGCTCCATACCGGAAACTAAACACTGACCCACAGGTGAGCTGCTTCCTGAGAGGAGGCTGGACTCCACCTGAAACAGGTGACTTTAATGGATTTGTTTAAATCTTTAAACTGATCGGATTTGTTTCTAAATTTTGGGAAACAGTAGCTACGTTATTGCACATGATGTGACGCTAACCGGCTCCGAAGCAGGTTAAGACCCATGTTAGAGATCATCAGGTATGAAATCACCACCTACTGAGCCTCCAGAAAATAGCGTCACCTTTTCAGGTGTTGTGCCAAAAAGTGATTGTCTGCCAGAAACTGATTGCCGTCCGCGGGAGCGCGCGCAGCTGCTTAAAGCTGCAGCGCCCGGATTACTTGCGTTGTCAGCTACTTCCGTGCAACTGATATAACGTGGGGGGGAAAAACCCAAACACATTTATGCCTTTGTTATTAGGCAAAGGTATGCATTTATGGAGCTTTAACGTTTCTTGTAACCGAATTATGACGCTATCAGAAGGTTGCTTTCAGTGTGTATGACTACACGCATCACGATGGAATAATTAATGCCTACAGGTTTAGTATGTCTACTCTCGTTGTTCATATTTGTTATAAGACTGTCGAATAGTAGTTAAAACAATAAAGACCTATTGTGCCAGTATCACCATGACTCTTTCTTGTTTGTGCAGAATAACGACTGAGAACATGGCATTTTAGCGCTACCAAAAAGTGATTGTGGCCTATAACTTGTCACTGAAACAATATTTCTGCTTCAAACTTGTTGGATATATTCCAGAAGGGTTACATGTGATATATTGTATCCCAAAACCTCTCCAAGAACTGCTGAATAACTTGTACAGGAACAATAACACTGATAATATGCCATTTTCAAGCTGCCAAAAAGTGATTGTGGCCTATATCTTGTCACTGAAACAATATTTCTGCTTCAAACTTGCTGCATGTCATTCTGAAGGGTCATATGTCAAATATTACATCTCAAACAGTCCCTTAGAACTGCTGGATAACCTGTAAAGGAACATTAACATTGATAATATGCCATTTTCAGCCTGCCAAAAAGTGATTGTGGCCTATATCTTGTTAATGAAATACTATTTCTGCTTCAAACTTGCTGCATGTCATTCTGAAGGGTCCTATGTGACATATTATATCTCAAACAGTCCCTTAGAACTGCTGAATAACCATTAAGGGAACGATAAAACTGATAATATGCAATTTCCAACCTGCCAAAAAGTGATTGCCGCCTATATCTTGTTAATGAAACAATATTTCTGCTTCAAACTTGCTGCATGTCTTTCTGAAGGGTCCTATGTGACATATTATATCTCAAACAGTCCCTTAGAACTGCTGAATAACCATTAAGGGAACGATAAAACTGATAATATGCAATTTCCAACCTGCCAAAAAGTGATTGCCGCCTATATCTTGTCACTGAAACAATATTTCTGCTTCAAAATTGTTGGATATCCTCCAGAAGGGTTACATGTGACACATTATATCTCAAACAGTCACTAAGGACTGTTGAATAACTATTAAAGGACCATTAATACCCATAATATGCCATTTTCGACCTGCCAAAAAGTGATTGTGGACTATAACTTGTCACTGAGATACTATTTCTGCTTCAAACTTGGTGGATGTCATTCAGAAGGGTCATATGTCAAATATTACATCTCAAACAGTCCCTTAGAACAATGCTACACTCTGAGGTCAATCCAGCGCTGCCAAACCTAAAAATTGGTAACTGCATCCTAAATGATAGTAAATGTAACAATAAATTTATCAGTGTGAATTTCAAATCTATTCTTTTCCAGGGGTTTAACTCAGGTAGATATTTGCAGGCCCTTCATGGGGACCAGTCACTCATGGAAAAGGCGTTCTCAAAATTCATTCAGTGGCCTGTCTCCCCAAAAGTAAAAGAAACTCATTTCAAGATAATTAATAATATATATCCTGTGTCTGAATTTTTAAAGAGGAGGTTTAAATTTGAGGTTAACCAGTGTGCATTTTGTGATTCAGCCTGTAAAACATTACACCATTTGTTTTTCTCATGTCCTGTGTCAGCTGCCTTTTGGTTAGAACTACACAGCTGGTTATCCCTCAAGATCAACGATATTCCCCAGTTTAATATTTCTGATATTATTTTCTATATGGCTAAACAACATCCATCTGTCTCTACTGTGATTAACATTGTCATCCTGTTAGGTAAATACCATATACATTGTTGTAAATGGAGGAATAGAAAACCATCCTTTACATGGTTCATCAATGACTTTAAACATTATTTCATGTCACTTAAAAAACTGAAGTCAAGCAGATTTGCCGCAATCTATGATGACATTTCCCATTTGCTACTGTTTTGATTATTCCCTATATTGTGTATCAACCTGTGCTCCTTTTAATTTCTTCCCCGTTAATACTGTGGATCTTTTGTCTAGCCCCCTCCCCCCATATCCTTGCTGTTAGTTTTGTTGTATTGACTGTGTTCTTTTTTTTATCCTCCACGAGAGTTCATTTGCACTATAATGTGTTATTTTGTTTGTGACTGTATTGTTCCAATTGTTAATAAATAAATAAATAAATAAAAAAGCTTTAAGCAGCTGCGCGCGCTCCCGCGGACGGCAATCAGTTTCTGGCAGACAATCACTTTTTGGCACAACACCTGTATCTGTCGCACGTCTGTGTGCGAACATCAGGAGCGTGTAACAGAAATGTCCATTTGGGGATTTTAATCCGCTGCTGAGTCTCTTGTGAGGAGACAGAGTTGGGACCACATCTAAAGAGACAGAGAAAAACATTTCAGGAAGTTGACTTACCTGGATCAGCATATAGCTTAGGGGTGACTATACATGAAATAATGCTTCATCTGGATAAGAAAAATTACCAGTACTCGGTCGTTACGAAGGAAAATTTTTTTGCAGTTCGTCTGAAAAGATGCACTTGCGCCTTGGGATCTTTTATACTATGGCAAGCCATTAGTGCCAAAATTCGCCACTTTCCTAACCCGTTTGGTTAAGAAATGGCGTAAAAAACGCCGTTTAATTATTCAAAACGCATATTGCCATATTATAGGGCTTTGGAGTTGACGTCACGCCGCAATGCATTGTGGGAGCGCGGCACCATTTTCGGGGTCTACGAATCAAATCAAACACACTGTGTTGGAACGACGATTACAAGATGCTTAAAAGCAGCTTAA